CCAACCCCTACATTTTTTGACTTGTGAAATTTATCCATTAATACTGCTGCTCAATTAAAAAAAATCTTATCAGGAATTGCTTATATCAAAATACTTGTTTTATTTAGTGTTGTTATAGAAAATACACTGTAATTTAAACTTTATTAGTCTGACTGAAATTTGCTGTTTCCCTGAGCTTTCAATTGACAGGTGATAGTCAAACATATATTGTTAGGAATCAAGATCGGAAATGAGGTTCACAGAATGTTTCATTTATCTAAAGTATTTTAAAAGGAAACCAGGAATAGAACATAGAGGGGAGAGTTGGCTAGAGCATGATTCATTTTTTCCCTTTGGCACTGTCTCTCTAACCTTGCATTTGTTTTAATGAAAAGTGACCAAAGTCAGACCAGTGCTAACTCATTTCTTCGCCGTGTACCTCAGCATGTTTTGCAGATCTCGTAGGGGTGAGGCGGGTGGGGGCACCCGCTCCACGCGGCAGTTTCATTCCCTTGATCTTGTTGCAGATGTGAATCCCAAGTACCAGTGTGACCTGGTGTCTAAGAATGGGAACGACGTCTATCGCTATCCCAGCCCCCTGCACGCGGTGGCTGTGCAGAGCCCGATGTTCCTCCTGTGTCTGGCGGGCACCCCTCTCAGGGAAGAGGAGCCGCTTGAGAACCCGGCCGCTGACCTTTGTGTTGGACCCGAACTAGATGTCGCCAAAGCAGATGGCTCCTTACCATCGCCGAGCAGTCTGTGGCCTGCCTCCCGTCCTTCATCCAGTAAGAAAATGGATGGCTACATTTTGAGCCTGGTCCAGAAAAAGCCACATCCTGTAAGGACCAACAAACCCAGGACCAGCGTGAGCGCAGACCCCACGAAAGGGCTTCTGAGGAATGCGAGCGTGTGTGTCCGGGCCGCCAGGAGCAGTGGCACGCAGGTCAGCGGTGTAAACCTGAAGAATGCGAAGCTGGTGTGTCTGCCCTCTGGCGGAATGCCCTCTCCGGAAAGCTCGACTTTCTCCCCGCTGAAGCAGTGGTCGAAGGACCCCAAGGCAGAACTGGAAGGCAACAGGCTGACAGTGTCCGAGGGTTGCTTAGCAGGCGCTGCGTTGGAGCTCCCAAGCAAACACCTCCCCAGAAATGCCAAGGCAGCCTCCCAGGATCAGGCTTGGGGTCCTGCCGCCCCGGGGGCAGGAGAGTCCCTGAAAGAAAGCGGTCAGGCCCCGGCTGCCGCTCACAAGGAGAGCCCCGGCCAGGGCCCCGGGCCCGCGCCGGAGCACAAAGCCGCGCAGCCCCCGAAGAAGATGGCTCCCAAGAGCAGCCTGCAGCCCGCCCTGGCTCCCGGGCCTGCCCCGCTGCTGCCCGCAGCCTTTGTGGCGGAGGAGAGGCCGGCCTTGGACTTCAAAAGCGAGGGCTCTTCCTCCCAAAGCCCGGAGGACGGCCCCCTGGTGAAGGCGCAGTTCGTCCCGGGGCAGCAGCCGGCGGCCCGGCTCCCCCGCGGCCACAGGAGCGCGGGCGGCGCGCGGAGCTCCACCCTGCGGCCGCGCGGCCAGGCTCCCCCGGGGCTGGACAGTGGCCTGCCCACGGTCAGGGAGAAGGCCCGCGCCGCTGGCAAGAAGTGTCGCTTCCCCGACGACTTGGATACAAACCGGAGACCCAAGAGGGCCTCTTGCAAGGGCCGGAAGGGAGGAGGCGGGGCCCCCGAGGCCCTGCACGCAGGCCGGCTGGTGGGCGCGGGAGGCCCCAGGGCCGGAAGCAAGGCGCACGGCCACGGACGGGAGGCCGTGGTGGCCAAACCTAAGCACAAACGAACCGATTACCGCCGCTGCAAGTCCTCGGCCGAGATCTCCTACGAAGAGGCCCTGCGGAGGACCCGTCGGGCGCGCCGCGAGCAGCACGTGGGCGTGTACCCCGTGCCCGTGCCGCTGCCCTACGCCAGCCCCTACGCCTACGCCGCCAGCGACTCCGAGTACTCGGCCGAGTGCGAGTCCCTCTTCCACTCCACCGTGGTGGACACGAGCGAGGACGAGCAGAGCAACTACACCACGAACTGCTTCGGCGACAGCGAGTCCAGCGTGAGCGAGGGCGAGTTCGTGGGCGAGAGCACCACCACCAGCGACTCGGAAGAGAGCGGGGGCCTGATTTGGTCCCAGTTTGTGCAGACTCTCCCGATGCAGACGGTCGCCGCGCCGAACCCCACAAAAACCTTCGTCAAAATTAAGGCTGCGCACACCCTCAAGAAGAAAATCCTACGCTTTCGGTCTGGCTCTTTAAAGCTCATGACCACAGTTTGAGTATCCCTGATGTGCGGCGGCTTTCCCCTTAGCTTCTGATGCAAGGGGGAAGAAACTGATGTCTTAGTTTTTGCGTAACGCTTTCACGAAATTGCTTTTACTGAGATAAAACCAAGGTAAATTATGTCTCCTCTTTATGTATAGACACTAGTGCCTTTAATGGAAGGTAAAGGATGTGTTGCTAGTTAGAAGTAAATATTGAGATTGTAATGGTAATTGTGAATGAGTTTTGTGCTCTCAGCTGATTTTAATTTTCAGAGCATCTGGTAAGGTACAGGTTTAGACCTTTACATTTTAGTGGGATGAGACATTTTGCTCCCAAGGTCAGTCAGGTGGGTGGAATTTTTTAGGACTTTTGTCTTTTGATTCTTCAGGGCACAGCCTCTGCAAAGGCTTCTGGTGGCATGGCACTGCCCGAAACAGACTTTTTTATGCCTTTTTATACTACAGTCGGCATTTGTCATATCTTCCCCAGTCTGTTTGCTTCTCAGAACTGTGCTGTTCACTGGACTTGGAACTTGTAGACCAGATCCCAAATCCAGAGGTGGCAGTCTGGACAGGGGCTCTGGTATTACTTTCAAAGGACTCCCAAAACCTTTTGCCACACTTGGTGCCTGGGCCCTGGTTATAGTAACTTCTTCCTGGGCCATATAGCCAGCATTTTGATGCCTTTCTAGCCTTCTCTTAATTTGTAGCAAATACAATAATTGGAGAACTTGCCTTTGGGGTAAAATGTTGGTACGCTGGTAGAGAGAAACTCACTCTACATCCAATAACTTTTGGGCATGATTCTAAGCCTGGACTTGCCCGCCGAGCACTGTGCAACCTAAGCTTTGGCCTGAACAGTAGTGCAATCCAGTCCAGATTGGACCACTGACCTTAGCTGGAAGGGCTTACTTTTTTTTTTTTTGGTGAACAGTATTGTGTAAAATTGTTCTTTTTATATCAATATATGCATGTTTTGTGCATGAGTAGTATTTGTTTTGCTATTCCTGTTGTTAAATTACTGTATGATATAAGCAGTATGTGTTTTTATATATATCATTGTGTAAATTTAATATAACACATTATATGCGGTAATAAACAATTTGTTTTACTGCTGTCCAGTTTGTTATTTGGGTATAAAACCAGATGTTTACACCTTGTACTGATTATTGGTGTTATTTGTGACATTTGCAATTACTAAGACAATTTTGGTGGTCCTAGAATGGGTAGTAAGCTAGTCTGGAAAAAGCAAGCATTTATTTAGAATGGTAAGTTACAGTAAAACTTAAGGTAAACTGTATCGCTGTCTCTTAAGGAAAGCATTTCTAAGAACAATCCCCAGTTTTTTGTTATGAAATATTTAAACATTGATTTGTTGAAATGGTTCAATAAATATTGGATAGCCACAGCTTAGATTCAACAATTACTAACATTTTGCCTTGTGTATATTAGACTAAACCATGCTGCTGTTTTGTAGGTTAAAGATAGTCTACTCTTCCTACTGTACACTTTACATTATTTTAATTTCAGACATAACAAAACCTCAATATTTGGATTATACTTAAAGAAAATTAGTAATTCATGATACCAAATATTTATATTCAATTTTTGCAGCAATGAGTTTCTTGTTGCTATTGATTGAACCCAGGTCCTCTCATATGCTAGGCAAACATTCTACCATTAAGCTATAGTCCAGCTCTTTTTAAAAATTTTGAGACAGGATCTTAAAATACCTAGGCTGGCCTCAAACTTAGCAGTTTTCCTGCCTTGGCCTCCTGAATAGCTGGGGTTCCAGCTGTATGCAACTTGGCCCCGCAATTTCAAATATTATTAACTAGCTTCCCATCTTCCCACAAAACAGTGTTCAGTGTTAGTCATTTCAGTTCATTAGGTTGAGGGTTTCTAGTCTTTGTAGTCTAGAATATTCTTTCCGCATTAAAAAAAATGGTGCAGGCTTTTTTTAGTCAAAAGAGTTGCCTTACAGGTCCCAGTTTCTGGCTTTGGTTTTTTATATTGTCTTTTAATATCTTTTCACCCCTTCATTTCCTGTAAGCAATGTGAAGCTGGAAGGTGTTCAGGTTAATGTTCCTGGGAAGAAGATTTCTCTAGAATGTTCTGTGCTTTCGTTTCACATGGAGGAATACATTGGCTTGTTCCACTGTTACTGAATTTGAATAATCCTTTGGTTCAGCTGGTGAACATAGATGTCTCTAGTATAAAAGTATGTTTTCTGGGGGGCTGGGAGATGGTTCAGTAGAATAAGCGCTTACCTGGCAAGCGCAAAGGCCTGATCAGTCGCCAGTTCCGCTAAATCAAAACAAAACAACAAAAGTATGTTTTCTTTGCAGACGGCTTGTGTTGATGGGAGCTTCCTCAGGACGTTTGGATTTACTGTCCCTCAAGTTCCACTCAATGGCCTTAGTTTACATTGTTGATTCTTGCTCACTTTTACTTTTTTTCACAGGCACGCAAAAAAAAAAAAAAAAAAAATCCCTCTTGCTTTGTGTGTTTTTATATGGTATCATACAATTGCTTATTGTAGTTTTTGAATTTAGTATAGGTTCTACATTGTGTACAGGGTCTCACTACCGAGATCAGACTTGTAGGACTCCTCCTGTTTTCAGCCTCCCAAGCTCTGGGATTACAGGTGCACACCACCACTCCAGGTCTCAGTTGCCATCTCATCGCGCCCCGGGGGTGGGGCCGGCTTGGCAGGCTGGGGATTGAACCCCACTGCTGTGCTGTGCCTAAGCAGGTGTGCCTAAACAGGCGCATTAGTCCTTTGAGCCATCAGACCAGCCTTCTTTGTTGTTTTTGATGGCTAACGCTTTCCAAATGTAACTAGACGGATGATAAATTTTATTAAAGGGACACAGAATCATCTAATTCCCATAATCCAAATATTTGTGATATATTCAATTTTTCAGATGATAGATGTCAGGTGCTAAATTTTAATGCAGCAAAGTCCTTTATCTGTTTCTGTATTCTGACTTGGAAGTGTACTTTGCCCCAGCCCTTTATTTACCTTATCTCCAGCAAGGTTTGCTTTAATTTTTGGAACTCTGCAAGGTATGGCCTCATGGCTGATAAAGGTCACAACTCTTAGCAAGACTTCTTTTTCTGTGAGATTTTGGATAACTTGCTAGTCTTACTATTCATGTATTTTTACATGCAGCTAGATATTTCTCTTTCACTAGAATTTCTTTGATTACTGACTGAATCTGAGCCTAGCACAAGGGCTGGAATGATCTCACCATTTCTAGCGCTGAGACCACTCTCTTTGAGGCATGCCTGTAAAGTCTATTGTGTAAGACAGCTGTGACCTGCAGCCTGCTCTTGACTCATTTCCAAGTTGTTCCCAGTGAGCATTATTCTTGGAAGTGGACACTTTCTGAAAGCCAGCTTACGAGCAATTACATTTAGGTGACAATGCCAAACTAAGAGAAGCGTGAAAAGCAGGATTTTCAAGGAACTTTGGCTTTATCCTTCCAGTCCATTGCTTGACTTCCCTATAGTTAGCAGTTGTAGTGCACTTGGAAAAATGGGGTTTTGTTCATTATTTTCAATAACAAAATAGCTACTATTACTGTAATAAACAAAAAGCCTCTTTACAATATTTTCCTTTGTTCTTAAAAATTACAAATTCTTATTGGCAAAAGAAAATAAAGGCTAGCCAGACAATACACAAAATGCCCCACTAATCCTCAAATCCTACTCTAAAGTATGTTTGGTATATGCATCCATACTATATTATATGAATGTGGAAGTATCATTCACACTTTCTTTAAAAGGAAATCTCAAATTAGATGTATTATTCTATAAGTTGTATCTTTCATTTCATGGATCTGCATGGCAAATATTCCTAAGTATTTCTTTGATGAGGAAAAAGGCAGCAGATTTCATGGGCTGAGTTCATCCTGCTCAGAAGAATTCTGTCCCAAAGTGTTACCTGAGGGTTACCCATATTTGCACACATACTGTCTGGTTTTCTTACTATTTTGTCATTATTGAGGGTCTTCTGTGAGACTTGCCATACAAAGAAATTTTCTATTTTTTTCTTGCCGGGTACCTCAGGGATGTTTCCAGGCTGAATTACTTTTTACATAAATATATCTACTTAGGGGTTCCCTGGCTACAGGGATAAATTCAAATTATAAATCTGTAGGAGGAGAGGCTGTGATTGTGTTCTCACAGGGGACCTTTCCTAAGGCAATTGCCTTTAGTTTCCTCCTGGATAAGCAAGTGAAAAAAATGTATGCCCCTCCAATCTAGCTCTTCACTCTGGGGTATAGTCCTTCAGTGATCGAAAGAGTACTAGAAAGCCTCAGTCCCAAATTCTGCCTTAGAAAGCCGAGTTTCAGTCCCTGAGTTACTGTCAAAACTAAAGCCCACGACTTACGGAAGCAATTTCCCTTTTGTACAACTTCAATGAGGTAAAATTAAAGTACAACAAAATTACATATTTTAAGAATAGAGGGGCCGGGGAGATGGCTCAGTAGAATAAGCGCTTCCCTGGCAAGTGCAAGGGTCTGAGTTCAATCCCCAGACCCTCAAAAAAAAAAAAAAAAAAAAAAAGACTAGAACTGGGTGAGCTTGGTGGTACCTGTCTATAATCCCAGCAATCGGAAGGCAGGTGCAGGAGGATTGCATGAGTTTTGGCTACATAGTAAGTGCAAGTCCAGTCCAGCCCCAACTATACAGTGAGAACCTATCTAAAAGAAAAGAATTTGAACAGTTTGTAACCGACACAATATAAAAAATATTTCCATAACTCTCAGTAGTTTCTTTGGAACCCTTTGTAATCCCTCTTTTCTGTTTATCAGGCAATTAATGATTTTTCTGTCACTATAGATTATATTTCCTAGAATCCTGCATAAATGAAATTAAATACTGTATGCTTTTTGCCTAAATTTTCTGCTTATAATAATGTTTAGATCTGTTTGAGTAGTTTTTCCTTTTTATTATTTTTTGTGTTTATTTTTATTTTTAAGAAACACTTCACTATGCAGTTCAAGCTGGCCTTGAACTCACTTCGTAGCCCAGGTTGGTCTTGAACTCACAGCAATCCT